CTAAAAGGGAAAAAAATGCAGAAAGTTAAAGCAAACTTCAGACAAGTGAATCTTTTGAGGGGGTGTGGTGCCAGGCAGTCTCCCAGGAGCCGAGGCATCTGTGTGGCAACTGGCTAGATGTGTTTCTAGGCAGAAGTTTCCATACAGACATGCTTCAGTGCATGTGCAGGGAGCCAGGCATCTGAGACCCCCACTCCACCCAAGCAGGCTCCAGAAATGACCACGCAGACGATGTCCTAAAGTGGGCACACACAGGGGCCTGTCCTGTTTACCCCAAACATCAAACATTCATTCCTGGCCCTCGCTGATGAGCAAAGAGAACAAGTGATCCATCAGGGCCCCTCTTCCTGCAGTATGAGAGAGCGGATCAGTTGCCTTGGAGACCGGAATGGAAATACCTAGGTGGGTTCCATGGCTGACCTATGAAGGGTGAGGGCTTAGGGAAGAACCCCTGGACATTTATAGCTAAAGGGACGAAGTCACCATGAATGTCCACATACCCTTGGGGTCTGGCCACTAAAGTCTGGGAAAGAAGAAATTCACAGCAATGTCATCCCCAAGGCATTTGACCTTCGAGGTTTCTACTGGGGGTGTCCCACCAGGCCAGTTAGCACCCAAGGGCTTTATAGGGTTAACCCATCCTCAAAGGTTGCTCTCAGCAGTCTGACATAGCATACTGGGCCACCTCAGAGAAGAGGCGACTGAAAACAGCTGGGCTGATGGAAGTGGGATGAGAAGCCTTCCCAACATACTCCCAGGACTGGCTGCATGGCCCCAAAGCCCTGGTGCAGCCTCCAGGCACGTGGGCCAGGCCGTGAGAGTGCCATTCCAGCTCTAAGCATGTGACAGCCAGTAACTCAGCCCAGAGTCTCCTTCCAGGCAAGCACCTACCAGACTCTCCAGTGAACCTGAGGCTAAATGTGGCCTGGCCCGCGACCCCCGCCTGGGTCTTTTGATTGTCACGCTGAGATACATTGAGGAGCCCATGAGGCCCTCCTGAGGCCTGGAGTTCAATTCCTAGGGCCAAATGAGAATCCCAGGGGTTCAGCTGACTCACGGCTGGACCCAGCGTCCCAGAGCAGGTGGATTTGCCAAAACTGAGCAGGCTGTAGACACCCTCTCTGCAGGGTTTCGGCCAGCAGATCCACCCAAGCCTCACACTCAGCCTGTATCAACGTGGCTCAGGTGTTCCCGCTTCTTTGCCCACCTGGCCCTCCCTCTATGTCCTCAAACACCCCATAGCCTTCTCCCCACTTCTAGGCCCACAGCTCTGCCTCTTCAGGCCTAGGCAGAGAACACTCAACTCCCAAGAGTAACCAGGCTGCCTGGCTGGGGGAGAGATTGGCAAAGGATTCCATAGTAGCTGATATGGGTCACAGGGCACCCCAACCTCCCTCATCACCCCTGGGCAGCAGCAAGGCTTTACTTGGCTACAAAAGCACAACTCTGTACTGGAATTTTCTAGAACTCTGAGTGTGTTCTAGAAGCTAAGAGCAATGGCTTCACATGCTTCCTTCTGAGAGGAACCTTCCCCGGAGTCCACAGGGTCACCAAGCTTGAGCCTCGCGGGGTCTCTGAGAAGACCACTCTGGGGACCCAAATATCTGCTTCCTCACTAAGCTGCTTCTACCCAGGCGAAGCAGCCCTCCAGGCCACTCTCTGGAGCTTGTTTGGGCTCTAGTCACGGCAATATGGTCATGTCTGGGCTCCAGTTGGCAGCAGTCCAGGCTGTCTTGGGCACTGATGCCAACAGGCCCCAGGCACGGCTCTCATGGATGGTTCTAGCAGGGGAGGCCCGTTTGCTGATGTCTCAAAACTTGGATACCACACTGAAACTCAGCAGTTCAGCCCTGCACCTAGGGTGGGTCCTCCGCAGGAGCTTGCCTGTGCCTGTGTCCTCCACCTCGCCTTCCAGGGCTTTCCCTGGGCATCACTACCATTGCGTCCTCCAGGGTATTGTCCCTTCCTGCCACAGTGCATGAAACACTGAGGGGAAGTGAACTTTGTGGGTCTGCACAACTCGAGTGTCCTTTGTGAGGGCAACGACGAAAGACCAGAAACTTTGTCATTATCTGTCCATGTCTCCGCAGCTACGGACTGTGAGCAGTGCTGCAGCAGAACACTGGCAGCTTCAGAAAGAAACCACGGGGTGTCTGGGGGTTTAGCCTGGCATGGGTGAACAGAAGGACCTCAGAGTCTGTTGTTCCCTTTCCCCCAAGCTTCTTCCACACCTACATCTTTCCCTGAAAAGTCTCCTCTGTTTATAGCGTGCTTTGTGTGGGGCATGGGTGAAAGGGTTCATTTTCGTCTCGTTCCAAATCTGAGAAGCAAGAGGACTTCAGGTTAGAATGGTGGGTGAAGAAGACAGCCCAACACCTAAGTCCGACGACATCTTTCCTCTGTGTGTGTTATCTGACAAGTGGTTCTGAAGTGGGGACTTGTGTGCCTGACTCATTTCCATTCATTTCTTCATGCCTAAGATAGTCATTTACTATCCCAGAGAGCTCCAAGCTTACCTGACCCAGATCTTCCTGTTGCTTGTTGGTTTATTTCCAGTGCTAGGGTTGAGTCCAGGTCCTTATGCACCTCAGGGAAGAGTTCTATCTCTGAATCACACCCCCAAACCTTCTTTCAGCTAGAAGAGGGATTTCCCAGCTCCCATTGGCTTGAGTCATGCGTGCACACTTAGTTTTGAAGGGCACGTCCCTTTTATCTCACTCTAGTTATACACTATCGACTTATTTTCTGTTGAAAGATTCCCCTGTACAACATATATATTGCAAAGGACTAAATTCAAAGTTGCTCATCCCCTCTGCACCCCACCCTGCTCTAAATCCACACTCGTTGCATGAGCAAGGAGCTGAGGTGGTGGGAAGTAGTGACTGCTTCATGGAGTTTCACAGGGGCAGGCCAAAGGAGAAACACCTAAATGTATTCCAAGTATTCAACAGTTCCTTGCCAGATTTTTTTTTTCTTATTTGCAGGAGAGGGAAGCTGGGTGGTAACTAGAACATGTAAAGAATCTGCATTGTGTTGCTGAATTCCTGACTGTGATCTCTTGCTGCACAGCACGGATAGCTCACTGCACAGCACGGATTTATAATCTCTGTGACAGCTCACTGCACAGCACGGGTTTATAATCTCTGTGACAGCTCACTGCACAGCACGGATTTATAATCTCTGTGACAGCTCACTGCACAGCACGGATTTATAATCTCCTCACCACACTACTTTACTTGTTTGTAAACTTTGGTTGGGGGCGGGGAGCAGTTTGCTAAATATATTCATAATTACATGTGTGGACTCACAGAGCTGAATGTGAACACTGCTTCATGCTTTGGGCATGCTCACCTTAAAACAGGAATTGATTCCCATTTAATACTAAATTCTGCCTGACTTTCTACATTTTTAACAATTCCATAATTTCCATTTTCAGCTTCCTCACCTCCCCGCCAGCTCATGATCTGAGCTCAGCATCTGGTGCCCAGTCTCACTTGTTCACAGAATACACTCTCTTTGAGTATCATTAAAGGCTAATTTGGTGAAATTATTTACCAGAGTTGATAGGGTCTGGCCATCAGTGCTGAGTCAGCAAAACACAAACAGCTCACATGTGGCCGTCACCTATGGGTGAGCCACAGCACCACCATGGACTCCTGGAAACAAGGAACTCTGGAGGGGCCCAGGCAGCACAAATGTCATCTATGGTCCATGTGTCACAACGAGTGAGCAAGTCACTCAATCTGCTTTCATGGACTTAGTTCAAAAGCTATTGAGGTGGTCTATTCCCGGCTGTGAACACTTAATTTAAATTCAGGCTTGCAAATAGCTCAGGGTGTATAAATGCATACATGGTGTGCTGTGCTTAGCCAACAGAGGGCAGAGGTGTGTGTGTGGTGTGTGTGTGTACACTGAGGTGACCGTCCTGACAGGGACATTTGCTCTCTCTGCCTTATAAACGTCTCCTGAACTCATGGTCCAGACTTTCTTACACAATGCTTTGTTCAGTGTGGAGTAGCAAAGAATTACAAATTTGTGAATCCAGGTGGAAGCAAACAGCTGGTTGCTTGCCCCTTTGACAGAGGGAAACCGAACTCTCATAGCATTGTGGCTTATCTCAGTGGAGTTTAAGGGTTTCAGGCTAAGAAACAGACCCCAAGTCTACGTTTCCTACTGGTCTTGTCCCCCAAAAGGCCCCATGAAGCCTCGAGGGGTGTGTGTGTAGAGCCCTTACTTCCCCATTATTCTATCTTTTGGCCTCTCAAGGAGAGGGGTCATGGCAGATTTGTACTGAGAACAGAGTTAGATAAGAATACCCTCCCACCCCAAGACAGCCTTTCCCCCTTGATCAAAGACGCCAGTCTTCCTTCTCTGAGGGCTTTAGTTTCAGATCCTGGGGTGCTGGCCCTCCCCCTCCAGCGGCTGCCAGGGCCTGAGGGCTTTGCAGTTAGGATGACCCCAAAAGCGGGACTTTGTGGGCCAGTTGGATAAAACACAAACTCATCTCGCCCTCAAAACCCCGATTCTGGGCCCACAGCCTCGGGAGCCTCTTTTCTGAAGTGAACCCTTTTGTGGGTGTAGTTCCCAGCTCCCGGCAGGCTTGCCTTAGAGACAGGGTTCAGGAGAAGGCAGGGTTACTAAAAATGCCTGCCTCTTACTGCTGGAAGGAAGTTCATCTCCCCCAAAGCCAGGGGGTCGCTGTGGAGAGAGATACTGTCCCACACAATCAGGCCTGAAAACATTCCAGCAAATGCCAGTCCGTCTCCCCCCCCCCCCCCGCAACGTCCTTTACCAAGCATAAATCCAGTGTTTGAGAGGCCTCGAATACCCCACCCCATCCTATCTCCAGCTAAATAAAGTTCCATTTATGCCCTTAACTGTCGTCGCTCATTAAAGTCAAATTTGGTGCTCAGTCCAGATTGGGAGAAATTATTTCCGTCTTTAATAGCTCATTTAGCTTTCGGGTTCCCAAGAGGACACCATTCCAAGCGCACCTTTTCTCCCCATTTAACCCCCTCCCTTTCTCACAACTTCTCCTAAAAATAAATTATAAATATGGATGTGTTCTCAGAAGAGGTGAGCGGCACATTCCTCTGCTCCCCTTGGTGGAATTGGAAGCGCGAGAAACCAGAGCCGCCACTCCCCCCCACCTGAATGGCTAAGTCTTTTTTTCCCTAACCACCTCCCAAGTTGGTGTCGTTTCAGTCCCAAACATCCGGATCCTCACCCCGAAACCTAGTTTTGATCTATTTATTTTACTCCAGTCGAGCTAGGCTACAGCCAGAGCGCTAAGGTCAGCTGCTCCTAGAGGGAGGGCCCCTTAACTTTATCTAGGGGAAGGTGGTAAGCTGTTCCAGACTCTCGGGGACCCCCAGCGCGCCCTGCCCGCCGTGTCCCCGGATGCACGTGGAGTGTCGGGAGCGGCGGGGAGCCAGCAGCCTTGCTCTGCGCGGCATTGATATCGGGGTCACGCAGCAAGTCAGTTTCTTGAATAGGTTTTCCGGGGTGGGGGCGGGGTGGCTGGTTTTCCACCTCATGGTTCAACTCCAAGCCCCAGCTGGAAGGAAGTGGGAGCCGCTTCGTTCCCGTCCCACCTCCTGGCCTCACACACACGCCCCTCTGGGGAAGGGGTTCGGGTGGGGTTAGCGTCTCCAGCCGCCAGGGTGGTGCCAGTCAGACAAGCATCGAGAGCTGGGTCCTGGGAAGAGCCCCCGCCTCCACCTCCCTGTTCGGGTCCCCACCCACTCAGCGGCAGACAGCCGCCCCGCACCCTACGCCCCAGGCCTGAGCACCCACCTGCGGCGCTCCCCCACCCCAGTCCGGGGCAGGGAGCGGTGCAGGAAGAGCCAGGGCACTCACCGCGCCTCCTCCTGGGTGCAGGGAGCCCCCCCCAGGCGGCGCCTTCTGGCGCCCCGGCCGGAGTGCGCGGGGTGGGGTGCGCCCTGGGGCCCTGTAGCCTTTCCGGACGATCCTCTCGGCTGCACGCAGGGACTAAGGAGGGTGAAGGGGGACTTCCAGAAACAAAAAGCAAAACCCAGCCCCCTCCCCATCCATGCTTGGAGAGACTGGCTTTCCTGCAACCCAGAGCAGCGCACCGAGCCCACGGGGCTGCACCCGGCCTCCGCGCTTGCCACAAAGCCGCGCCCCCGCCCGGGTGCTCCCCCTTCCCCTCCGTAGCCGCCCCGGGGCGGGGGCAGGGCCGGCAGGGGGTTGGCCGTACTAGGGAGGCGGCTACTCTCCAGCCCGGCCCGGGAGAGGGCTAGAGCTTTCCAGCTGAGCTAGTCCGCCCCAGAGGCTAGGTGGGTAGGGGTGGCTGGGGGCTACCTTCCTAGAAACCCTCTCCAGATATAGTCCGCGGACACCCGCATTCCTAGAAATGCGGCCCGGGCCATGTCAGTGGCGACCCTTGCGGGGAATGCGGAGAGGGACACACAGATCCCAGGGCTATCCATACTTGAAGACTTCCCACTTCTAATGTGCCCAGAGAGGAAGATGACACTGTGCCTCCCTTGGGGAGATTGGGGTGTTGAAATGGGGAGCAAGCAGAATTCCAGGAATCCTTGAGCTGGTGGTGGGAGTTGCCGGGGTGCCCGAAATGGGGAGGCATCCACTTAAGATTCAGACGCGCCCTCGGCTCTGCCCCCTTCTTTTGGGAACTCCTGGAGCCTGCCGCAGGGAGCGCCTTCCGCCCCTCCCCCAGCTTTCAGCAACCCCCACCACACACACACACACACACACACACACACACACACACACACACACAGAAGCAGGCAAGTGCCCCCAGCTCTTCCGCCCACTCCTCGTCTATCCCAAATCTCAGTATGAGATGACTGCAGTGCCTTGGAAGATCCCCAGTCTACATTTCAAGGGTGTGCTCCACTCAGTTCCCGAGAGTTACTCGCCAGACTAACCCATCTTCAGACCCAATCGCAAAGTTGAGCTTTCTCCTTCCGAATCCACCGGCAGTCTTGCGGCTCCAGGCTCTGGAAATGGGGGTGGGGCACAAAGGGCACACATTCTGCCTGGCGAAGTACTGACCTCTGGTGCTGTCCCCTGACTTCCAAAAGGTGCTTTTGGTTTCAACATTAGGGAGTTTGCCCTAGCTCAGCCGGTTCCTGAAGTCGCCCTCGCACACCCCTACCCAAGGATCCCCAGAACCGTTGCAGAAGCCACCACCCCTCTTGGTCAAAGAGGATCCGAATAACTGAGACACGCCTTGTCCCTTTCCACAGCCCAGCTTCTCTGCGCGAAAACGTGACTGGACTGAGGTTCCCGGGATCATAAAAAATGTATTTGCTGTCCTCTGTTGGCCAGCGGTTGTCACACTCTGAAAAGCACATCAGAGAGGGGGGGGGGGGGGGAGAGAGAGAGAGAGAGAGAGAGAGAGAGAGAGAGAGAGAGAGAGAGAGAAAGAAGAGAGGGAGAGAGAGGAGAGCAAGCCAGTCAGCACCCTCCCTTCGCTTTAGTGGTACAACATCAGGACTGTGAGCCACTGGGTTCTGTGGCGCTTGTCCAGGAGGGTGCTCCAAAAGGTAAGGAAAGTTGGGGATACACGGACCTCAAAGAGTGGCTTTTCCAGTAGCAAATTGGAAAGTACATTTGACAAAGGGAGACAGTTTGGATTCCTCCTACAGTGAAGAGCTTGATCACTGCTAACTGCCCCTTTAATCCGAGAGCCATACATTGTATCACCTCAGAGACAAGGAGACTCATGCTTCCAGATCAGTGGCTTCTCGAAGTCATGGGTGACTTGACTTTTATGTGGCAGGAGGTACAGTGTGATGGTGACCACTATCCAGTGGCCGGTGTCTAGGCTTGTAGACCCAGGCTGAGACTGAGGTCATCTCTGGTGTATCCTGTCCCACAGATGTCGTGGGCCCCTTTGTGAAGTTCATAGAGAAACAGCTGTGTTCTATTCCACCGGGCGCTGTCCAGCTGTGCAAACCCTTTGACACTGGGACCCAACACTGTCATCTACAGAGCTCATGCTCTGTGCCACCCAGTAAAACAATCACATACACAAATCTTCTGTGTGTGTCAAACTGTGTTCATAGCTATTCTTGGCTACATGCAGACTGTGAGTCACAGGTTGGACACCCCTAGGGCCTCTCTGGGCCTCAGTTTCCCCATCTGTAAAGTGGGAGCATCTATAAAGAAGCCCTACGCCTGTGGTGGGGATTTAAAAAGAGGCTCTCCGTTAGGAGTACTGAGAGAAACCATTGCATTCCCTGGAGGGCGGGAGAGAAGAGGGGAGATGCCAGGCCAGTAGGGAGGAGGAACTAGGGCTATATGTGGCAGGAGAAGCCCCAGCCCCGCTCTGAAGCTCAGATGACTTTCTTCTGCTATAGAAGTGCCAGTGTCCTCCTGGGACAGCCATGCTCCCTATGTTTGAAGCTGCATGATTTACCCTGACACTCCGATTTGGGTCCTGCCTGAACCGAAAAAGTTAGCTGGTTGGATACAGGAGGGCAAAACAGGCTCTGGTGGGCCATTATGGTGAGTAATGTATAGTAGATCATGTATGATGGGGCCATGTGGGGTGGGCCATGTAGACTTCACCATAGGGTGGGATCGCCTAGCTTTTCTCTTGTAATTTAAACCCCCTTAAAAGATGCCCCCCAGATCTGTTAGAGTTCCTCCCGTTCCAGCCTAGCTCAGCTGCCCATAATCAGACAAGTGATAGATCTGAGATCCAGTTAAGCACTGTTGCCATCAACATACACGGGAAACAACTTGCTATTTGACTTGAAGCCCTAGAAACCCATGCAGGTCTTCCAGGAATGAGTTCCACTTGTTGGCCCTGTGGTGACATCAAAACTCAGCCGCATCCATGGAAAAGCTGAAAAGGGCCTTGAAACCCCAGAGAATCACAGCCAACCTGAGCCACTGGGACAGTCCTAGGCTGGGGAGAGAGGGTGAGCACAGGCCTCTCGTTTCTCTGGGTTTTCATGGGGCCCAAGGGAAGAGGGAAGGCGACAAAGCGTGACTCGCTACTATCAGGTGCCAAGATTCTCAGGATAAAAAAAAATATAAACTTCTAGGGGCCAGATGACTGAGCAGGTAAAGGCAGCCCTGGGGCCTCTCTGGGCCTCGGTTTCCCCATCTGTGCCATAAGCTCGCAGTGGTGACACACAAACAGAAGAAAAAAGCCTGTGTTGGAGATTCAGAGGAGGCTTCCCACTAGGAGCTTGGTTGCATTACCCAGAGGGGCTTGAGTGGAAATGAGGAAGGGGAAGATGCCAGGCCAGTGGGAGAGAGGAAAACAGGCAGGCCTAACTGCCAAGCCTGCTCCTACAAGTTGTCCTGAGCGTATATGCACAAACACACACACACACATAGACACACACAGACATACACTCACAATACATACACACACAGACACACACAAGACATACACACAGACACACACACTCACACAAGCATACACATAGACACACATACAGATATACAGAGACACATACACACAGAGACACATATACACAGATATACATACATGCACACAGAAATGTAATAATAATAAAATCCCTACATTTCCAAAGCAAGCAGAAAAACTATGACATAAACCTGAGGCAAGGATAATCTGAGTTCAAACAGCCTGGGTAACTTAGTGAAGTCCTGTCAGGAACTACAAACAGCTTGCTAGGATGTCAGCACAGCTAGGCCTAGTGTCAGCACAGCTAGGCCCGTCCTCAGCACTGAACTAAGTTACTGTACAGTCCACAGAAAAGTTCACATTGAACAAATGTAAGTGAATAAGAAACAACATGTAAACATATTGCAGTGAAGCTGCTTGGGCATGGGTGGGAGGTCAGGATAGAGTGAAACAGATTCTTGGTCAAGTCAATAGGATCTTGGGACATGATAACTGCTCTTTTTACCCCATCAGAAGGCTGTGTCCACCCTTTGAAATCTCTGTGTCTTAGAGCATTATTGCTGTGAAGACACCATGACCACAGCAATTCTTAGAAAGGAAAACACTTAATTGGGCAGCTTGCAGCTTACAGTTCAGAGGTTTAATCCATTATGGTGGGGCACAGCAGCACATAACAGAGTGCAGGCAGACATGTTGCTGGAGAAAGGAGCTGAGAGTTCTACGTCTTGATCCACAGGAAGCAGAAGACCTCAAAGCCCACCCTCACAGTGACACACTTTCTTCAACCACACCTCCTAACAGTGCTGTTTTCTATGGGGACTATTTTCTTTCAAATCATCACACCATGGGAGATAATGTTAAGAATCTAATCCAGGAGCTGTGTGGCTCAGGGTTAAGGTGCTTGCCTGGCATGCATGAAGCCCTGGGTTTATTCCCAGTATCACATAGATGGGGTAAGGTAGCACATGCCTGTAATCATAGTATTCAGAAGGTGGAGGCAGGGGGATCAAGAGTTCAGGGTCACTCTCTGCTACAGAGCAAGTTTAATGATGGCCTGGACTACAGCAGATCCTGTCTAAAAAAAAAAAAAAAAAAAAAAGCCTGGCAATGGTGGTGCACGGCTTTAATCCCAACTCTCAGGAGGCAGAGGCAGGCGGATCTCTGTGAGTTAGAGACCAGCCTGGTCTACAAGAGCTAGTTCCAGGACAAGGACCAAAGCTACACAGAGATACCTTGTCTCAAAACCCCCCACCCCAAAAGACCAAAACAAACAAACAACAACAAAAACCTCTTTGTAAATCTTGGACCACACTACTCTCACAGATTAGGTCTGAAGAGTCTGGACTCTGGACTCCCTCTAGGGCTTGGAAGAGTCCTTGCACCTGCCTGTGGGTGGTGCTGGACCCCAGGAAAGAAATGGCAGGATCCTGGGTCGAGGGCAGGAACAGCCCTCCCTCATTGTGACCCTTGGAGTCTTGGATGTCAAGAGCCTTTCTTCTGGTGCCCTGTGTGCCTCCGTTCCTACATTTCTTTGTGAAATATAAAAACATGAGAACCAGCTGTGGTGGAACAGATCTGTAATCCCAGTCACTTCGGAGGCTGAGGAAGGGGGATCACAAGTTCAAGGCCTGACTGGGCAACTTCAGGAGTTCCTGTCTCAAAACAAAAGATGAACTAAAAGGGCTGGAGATGCTTCATAGCACTAGAGTGCTCACACTCAACACGCATACAAAATAACAACGTGTGTGTTGTATGTGTGTGCGCTTCACGGTGTATCAGTCCGAGAATGACCTGCGGAGTCTGTTCTCTTCCTCTACCTTCTTTGGGGCTTCTGAGGTTGAAATCCAAGTTGCCAGGGTTTGTAATGAACTCTGAGTCATTGTGGGTCCACACATCAGGACCTGCCCTTTGTCCCTTCTGTCAGACGAGGAGACTGTAAGGTCATGGCAGTGAGGCAACTCACGCCAAAGGTACACGAGTCTGGGAATTTCTAGAAAGTTGATGGGAAACTGTGTGATGCCCAGCAAGGCATTTAGGGGAAGCACCGTTCACTATTTCTCAAGGTTTCTTACATTCATTTGTGTGTGTGTGGGGCTCACTGGCAGGTGACAGATTTCCAGAGGTAGAGAAGGACAGGGTTATCCACAGAGGCACAGGGGGTGCCACTGGCCCAAGGGTCCCCATGGGCTCAGACTTCTCCAAACTGTGAATGCTCCGTCCACTGGGACACCT